TACGTAAAATCAAAGAGGATATGATGAAACTGTGACCCTATAGCTGAATAGAACGTTGACACTGGATGCCATGGTCCTGGATTCGACTCCCAGTCGAGTCATATTTTCTTTAGTTCAGTTTCAACATCATTTTCCGATTTAATAGAGATAGATTATAACCGCACTTTGCGAAAGAAGCACTTGACAACTACATTCACTAGGGCGATATTTCAGTCAACTTGTGAAAGAACGAGTCATAGTTTTCACAGAAAAGGGTAATAGCAAAGACAAAGAAGAAGCAGATATTATAGTGTCATACATATACTAATAATCAATGAAGTGTGACCTTTTTTGACCATTCTGTCCTATTTTTGGAAGCTTTTTAATTTCTCTCGAATTTGGAGAAACTGAACATAACGAGCACTACATCAGACAGGCGGCGATAAATTTTTGTCTCCAAAACCGGATGTGTATGAGCTTGTAGGGGAAGATTTGCTCTATCCATTAGTGTATATATTGTCGAATCCTATACACCACCAGAGAAAATTAACACGTTGGCTGCCAATGTGTCAAGTCATTGTGTAAGTTTTTTTGGCGGCGTGATACATTGGCAGCCAACGTGTTAAACGTAACCCCTCTTTTCTTAGAATTTTTTTTTTATTATTAAGTTAAATATTGGGCATTATAGAGTAAAGTGTCTTCTACAAAGTAAGATCATTCCCAGCTCTCCAAGGGCCTCCGTTACTTTACGCTGAAAAACCATATTTTTTATATATTCTAACCAACCTTTTATCTCTTTCATTCAGTATTTGATAAACTTTTCAAACAGTCAGCCGTGTAGAGTAAAGATTTCTCTACAAAAATGAGATGTCTCCCAGCTCTTCAACATATTTTTGGATAGAGTTATGATCATTTTGCCGGAAGCCTTTGAAAAAGTTACATTTGTGATATAACGTCCAAAATGATCATAACTCTACCAGTGGTGAAGAGCTGAGATATAGCTCATTTTCTACAGAAAATGTTCACTCCACAAGACTAACTAACTGTTTCAAAAGTTTATCAAGTACGAATGAACGAGAAAAAAGTTTCGAAAGTGACAAATTAGGATTTTTTCAGCGTAAAGTAACAAACGTATAAGTAACAATTTGTATCTCCTCAACGGAAGGCCTTGGAGAGCTGGAAGTGATCTCAGTATGTGGAGGACACAATACTCAATAAAGCATAATATTTAACTCAAAAATCAAAAAAAAATTTCTAAAAAAGAGGGGTTATCTTTAATTTTCCCTGAGGGTGCACATTAGGATCCGACAATATATACATCACTAGATAGAGCAAGTCTTCCTCTACAAGCTGACACATATCCCCCGTTTTGGAATCAAATATCACCGTGAAAGTTATAGTCCGTTTTTCTTATTTGTCTAGTTGTCTCATCTTATTTGTCGTGTTTTTGTGGACATTTATTGAACAAAGTCGATTATTAAAATCGTAAAACAGACGCTATATTATAGCTATTTGAGTTTGTGACTTGTTGCTTATATGTATCTCTCACACTTTCACCGTTATTTTTAAACGGTTAACGGACAGACAGAAAAGAAAACATATAATGAAAGCGAAAGTTTCGTTATTCATTCTCCTTTCGTCGAAATGAAACACTACGATATATGATAACGTTACAGAAAAGAAAAAAATCTCGTTTGATGTTACATAAAGAGAACGAAAAAGTAGGGCAGGATTAGATCATAAAATGTTTAGGGCAGGACAGGATTACATCAACCCCTAAACACGATTCGAGAAATCACATAGGGAGTCGTTACGCCGTACCGTCTGATAATCGCTTTGTTGTGTAACTTTTAGAGTATAGGATATGAAAAAACTGGTGTAAAGGATTTTTCATACAGTTACAGTCTGAGTTATGAGTTTTTGACAAAGAAAAGATTTTCCTGATGGATTTAAGAACAAATATTCAAAAGATTTGGCGGCGTCAAAAATAGATGAAATAATAGATCTTGTCTAAAAATCTCTGTCATAGGTTAGTATCAGAAGCAAAATATGCATTTGTATTCTACAACTATTAAAGTATCGATTGATGATGGAAATAAACAAAAATATTACAGCACGATCGTTAAAACAGCTATGCGACTTTCTTACAATAACTTGTCCAATTCTACGGATGAACTGAGGATCTATGGACTCTTAATATTAAACAGACTCACACATATTGGAGGCAGTGTAGGGCTGGGTAGATGAATGCTGGAAAGTATGTCAGCTTACAATAAGTTCTATAAAGTAAGAAGAAAATGACAAATAGCAATGAAACGAAAGCGACGTGCATCAATTAAAAAGGTATTTATGCATGATTGGAGGGAAAATGGAGGAAGAATGAATGACATAGTGAGCATACAGGTAAATTGGTTATAGGAACAATAAAAGCTTGGCCTGTCTTCATCACTTGTAAAAGAAATATGTAATATCTTCAGAGTGTAGTGCTGAGAAGGTTTCGTCAAAAGTTCCATACTGCACTATACTTCAAGTGAGATTAACTCTAATCCTCCTCAAAACGAATACGATCGAAAGCGTCCACGAGTTTTAAATAGTCAAGTGATTTGAAGATAAACGTCATTTATAAAAAAAGAATATTCACAACTCACACACAAAACTACAACACATGCTCCGTGGAGACTTTCATTTTCTTAACTGTAGAATATCTGTTAATATTAATCATTTTAAAAAACAGTTTTTTCCAGTTTCAAATACGTTGATATAAAATATAATGCGTGTACAATTTATTCTGCTATTCTCATCTTTTGTATTTGCGTGTCCTGTAGAATTGTTTCATTAAATGTTCTTTTTCTTATTTTCTTATGATAAAATAACGCATAATGTTTTCATTCTGTCACGTTCTTCTAAACATTTCTTTCACTTTTCTCTTTCCTTTCGGCATGCTTGTCGTAGGTATGTGTGCACTATAGTGATATGTGTTTCTTCTGTTTTTCTTTACTTACTTATTCTCTGGGGATGTGAATCTCAGGAATGCTCAATAATGTCCTACAAGTTTCAGTTTTTCGAACGTGAACCCGTTCCTGTAGATCATCATAAAACCCATTCGGATCCCGCTCAACCAACACTCGAAAAAAATTTTCTTTTCAGTAAAGTAGCGCCCTCTTTCACTTGCATAAGTTTATTATAGTGAAAAATAAAGAAGCAGAAACTAATTGGAGTAGTTTTAATGACTGAAAAAATCAACAGTCTGGAGAAAAGACTTCTTGCTTCTATTTTTATCATAAATAATAGAATAGAGGTAACTGAAAAAAAATGCGATTGTGAAGAAGAAACCCGATCACGGTTCGTAGGATTGAAGCGCGTCTCGAATCTGAAGCTAAAAAATCTTTTTAGATTTGCATTCAACCTGCAAGACTCTAATATCCGATCTCAGATTGTAAGGAATAATAAAGCACTGACTAAGATGTAAGGAATAATAGATCCATCCCCCCCAAAAATGTGTCCTCAAACTATGTCAATTTAAAGAGGATATCTATTACATGTATCTTTCAGTTTTGTCGATGAACTGATAATTATTCACAGAGTTATTAATTAATTAAGTATAAATTTTAATTAAAATTTAAGGTCCTAGTTCTCATTTTAAAAAACTTGTAACTCAGTCAAAAATAATCCTAGCAAAGTCATTCATGCATTGCTTGATGGTTTCGGCAGCCCTAGTTACAACGATTACCCAAAACCTAGCCACAGATTCTGACTACGCAAAACATATCTCATAAAAACTGTTGGGACAAAAGTTGTTCCCTATGGAATTCTACGTGGAATAAGCGGAACATTTCTTTTTCTAATGACAAAAACTTCAAAAAAAGTATTAATTAAAAAATTTTAAAATAAAAAATTGTTTGATTTTCATTAAAATGAAATACAAACGTGGACAAATCAAATTCTATTGTTGGAAGAAAAACCTAGCGTATCAGAAATGCTTGTGGTTATAAAACGTGCTATATGTGTCGATAATAATTATGAACCACATCCAGTACAAATTCTAGTAATATTGCTAATTTTAAACAATAGACGTAAGAATAAGGGACGTTTATTAAAAATTCCAACAGGTGAAGGAAAATCAATAATTGTATCAATTTTAGCTGCAATTAAAACATTACAAGACAAATATGTCGATATCGTTACAAGTTCGATTATTCTTGCTAAGCTCAAGAAAGAGCTAACTTTTATAATATGTTTAATTTATCGTATCTCATAATAGTGATGGTATGAATTATATGTCTAGTGCTAAGACTTGTTACCAAGAAGAGGGATTGTCTATGGAGATGCCAGTCATTTTCAATTTGATAAACTGCGTGATGAATTTAGTCAACTTGGTACAGGAACTCAACGACCATATGATGTTGTGATTATTGATGAGGTGGGTTGTACGTTAATCGATGGAAATAATAAAATTGTACGTTTAGCTGATACAGCACCAGGTATGGAATATTTAAACCCATTATTGAGTGCCATATGGAAACTAATAAATACAAATGAATCTGTAGATAAAACTTTCATGATAAACGATACTCAAACACTAGTTCATACAGAGATGAAAATTCCTCGATATCTAGAAGAATTTGTCAAAATACAATTATTGTATTGGACTAATAATGCTTTATTAGCTAAAAATGTTTATCAACTTGATCATCAATATATGATGAAACACGATGAAAAAAATATCAAACAAATAACACCAATTGACTATCTCAATACACGTGTTATACAATCGTCTACAACATGGAGTGATGGTTTACATCAATTTTTACAATTAAAACATGTTTTAAAAATAACATCATGAAATTTAACAACAAATTTCATTTCAAATATTGGTCAAATATTCCTTTGTTATGAACATAAAATTTATGGTCTAACTGGTACACTCGGGTCTGAAGATGGTTAAAATTCGTCTCTGCAATTTATATTGAGTTAATACTGTTATCATTCCAAGATATAAAGAAAAATATATGTAGAAATACCATGTATTTTGACAGAGACATACGATCAATGGATGGAAGCGATTATCACGAGTGTTATACTCTTAGTGTGCTATCTGGAATCAGCGTCAAAAGTTCGGGATAAGTAAATTTATTACAGAAAGTTTTGCGACCAAGTCGAAGTAAACGGTCGAGGTAAGCATTCACTTGTCTGTTTTAATGAAAAACTATACATTTTTCAAAAGAATACCAGTGGATAGTCCATGAGCCAATGAGCTAATGAGGTATCACTGGTAGTTTTTCAGTTTTTCTAAGACATAACTTCGACAACCTAAAAATTAGATTTTTATAGAAAACCATTTTTGTTTGAACATCTATTATTTTCTCACCTTTTTAAAGTAATTGCTAAAATTATGAGCAATACCTCATTTTGTTCAAAATTTTGTGCTCTGTTCAATTATGTAATTTAAACACTTTTTTGGTAAACTTAAAGGGTTTCTAGAAACCTCCAAAAGTTTTCCAGATATCCTTATAAGACTCCAAACTTTTGAGACCGGATTCGGATAATCCACACTTGAATGTCCATGAAAAAGTGCATCTCGTTTTATACTTAAGCCAGAACCTCGAGAACAGCGTCAAACAATATAAATCCCTAAGATCCCGAGAAGACCTTCGGTGTCGGGTTGAAGGTCCGACGTAAAAGCGATCTGATCGCATTATCGGATAAGCCGTGCAATGGACTACATGGGATGAAAATATTTCTCTTCCATCACTTGTCTTGGCGGAGAAACAGAATCTTCATTTTTGCTCTCCATTTTTTTAGACGCTGAATTTTCTAAAGAGCAGACTCTAGAAAACCGTCCAGAACTCAGAAAGTAAAAGTCCTAGAAGGCTCAAAATTTGGATTTATATTTCACACATGCTGGACAAGATAGGACTAGTCAGAAGCAAATCTGACTAGTCGTGATGCTGTGACATTTTTGACATCGATTGAGCATGGCTTGTTGTTTCTGCAATGACTCTTATGGACATCTCTCCAGATAGATCTCAAAAAGTTGAAATTTTTTTTGTCAAACTGACACTGCCATTCGATGAAGCTCATCGAACTGACCAAAACTACCAGAAAGTTTTCTCTTACGTTTCGTACTGATTGAGCTGTAAAGTATTGCAAGTTCCCTGTTATTCTTCAAATAACAGAAAACAAAAGAAAACTATATGTTAGTTGCTACGAAAGAATGAATAGTAACACAAAAAACAAAAGTATTATTAAAGTAAAAAATATCAATCGCATAGAAGAAAAATCATTATTTCGGCTTGTCCAAAAACGTGATGCTGTGACATTTTTGACACCATAATTGTTATTTTTCTGTAAAACTATAATAGCTATAGAGCTGGTTCTTGAGCCATTTTACGCGCCTCACCTCATTCTATCTATGGTGAAAAGAAAACAGACAATTTGCTTGAAATTCAGGGCCTCTAGATAAATTTTTCGATCCGTGATCCTGTGCCAAAAACAGCTCTAAATCTTTTACAGTTTGGAAAATGGTAAATAGTTCTCAAAGAAGAAAGCGATAGAAAATTTTTTCAAACACAACACTTTGTAGTGAATTGGATGGGCTATTCAACCGCCAAAAAAAAAAATTTCCCAGACCCTTTTGGAAAGGCAGAAAATGCATTTTATTACCGTGACACTATTTTGTAACACCATTTTTACGCATTAAACGATGTTCTAAAAACTTCATATTTATATTCTATGTAGCTCTACACATTCTGATATAATTTTATTGAAAATTAAGGTTCAGGAAACTTCTAGAAGGTTTTCAACCAAGGCGGAAGTGGAAAAGTTAAAACAACCACGGTATCTCAACTGAGAAACAAATCTCAAAACAAAATGAGCTATTTTGTAGAAAATTGAATTTGCTACAAAATGGTATACGTTTGAAATTTTTTGACCAAACTATTTCGATTAGGAAAATGAAATTTTAAATTTAAATTTTTATATTGAAAATTAATTTTCTCTTCAAAATAAAAGTCATATTTGCGATCATCGTGAAAAACTGAGTCTAGAGATGTGTCCCTATCGCTTTTCAGGTGCAAAAAAAATTCTAAAAGAAACTTGATCAGTGAAGTATCGCGTTACGCGGACAAGCCGATTTCTTTTCTTAAAAGATATTATTTTGACGAAAAAAAACGATAAATAACACTTGTACCCATGTTAACTAAACTGTGATCATTATTAGTCACAGATGAGAGTAAATATTTTCCCACGTTACACGAATGAAAATAAGCAGCACAAATGAATTCAATTTATTCTTTCATTATCTGATACACAAGTTAAAATAGTTTAAAACACAAACAATAGACAAAGTCAAGTGCTCTATATTTCGACAAACACTTTTTTATTATAATATACAAGAAAATCACAAATTATTTATAACCATAATATGATACGATAATCGATTTTTGATGGAACATGAGAGTCTATGATTATCATTTGAATTTTGTTTGTATCGATTAAATTTTTTCTTAATAATTGTATACAATAATCCTTGGTAATTTTTGTAAGATTATAAGGTATTTTTAACGATAGATAAGTTAATTGTTTTAAATCTTTTAATAATCGTGATACGATAACATTAAAATCGTATAATGTATTTATTGAACATTCAAGATTTAATGATTCTATATTAGAAAATAAGTACAATAAATCATTCATCTTTTCTCTTGTAAACGAATGATAAAAGTGATGATGATAATCTAATATTAATTTTTTAATTTGATTATTTGTATATGAACGAAGTTGTTTAATATTTTTTAATTCTTTTAAAAATGCTGACGGTATTTCTATAGTATGAATATTTGGTGATTGTTTTAATAATTCTAATAATAAAAGTCCAGAACAATAAAATGAAAGATCCAAATGTTTTAAATTTAATAATTTTATCGTTTTTGTTAAACAAGTCATTATTGAACGAGGAGTTATAATTTTGCCTTGTAACATCAGTCTGCTAACATTTGGATATCTAACGCCACTGTTGTCTTCTAAAAACACACACACAAACATAAACATCGTTTAAACAATATCTTGGTAGAGCCGTTCTTGTCTCGCACAAATGTGCGATTTTGCTAATGAAGAAATTTCCCTTGGTGTATCCTGGGCAATTTCGGTTGTGATAGTTAGATGTACAGTTGTTTCACTCAAGAGTATTTATTTGATCAGAAGAAACATTTAGATAAAGTTTCTACGTCAACTTCTTTGACGATTGTCATGAAGCAATTTCTAATGATGACATAAAAAAACTGCTGAATATTTTATGTACGGTTAAAAACTCGAGTAAATAAATATAATTAGATATGCATTAATTCTTTGGGTACGGGACCCGTATATATATATATATATATACGTTTTGAGCTTTTGCAGAGATTATAACTTGTATGATCTTCTATCGTTCCTAAGCCATAAGAGTATTCTCACTTTCCCTTATGTTGCTAGTATCACAACATCATTGTGTGGTACTATTATGCATATAACGGGTGTTCCAGAATAAATCGGTCACTTAGTATTTTGCTCATATCTTAGTTGAATTGTATCCCCTAAGCTTTGTTGTTTTCTTAAAAGATGTGTCGTAAAATTCTCTACAAAAAATATATTAA